GGTAGCTGTAGGAATTCAGTAGTACCGGGCCTGTATTTTCCCGGATTTGCAGATCTGTCCCTCACGAATTTCCTTACAGGCAGGTCTCTCGGTTAACCCTCAACCAAACAAAATTACAAATTTAACCTACCGGGTTAGTGTACAGCCTCACTGTCAATCTCGGCAGCAGAAATCAGCAAGTCATTGCAGGCTTACCCTCCCCGGGAGCGAGGATCTCCGAGCTAGGGGTGCAGACGAGGCGAACGGCGAAGGTCACCCTTCTGAGCCGCCTCATAGCGCAGTACAACACACTTTGCTGTCTTGATCAGGTCTCTTCTGTAGAACCACCGGTTCTCAGAAGGGGGCTGGAAAGCGAACCTGACAAGATACTATCGGTCGGGGCCTGTGCCCCACTCATCCTCAATGGCCACCACATCATATCCCTTGCCAGGGATTGGTGGGCCCCATTGAGGGGGCCGGTCAGGGAATGCATCAGCTGGCGTGAAAGGCAGCAGCTTGGATGCATGGAAGATCGGGTAGGTGCGTAGATGCAGTGGGACGTCGATGACATACGACGGACCGAAGGGATCAGCGCCCACTGTATCTAGGACCTGCCATGGACCCAGGTAACGTGGCAACAGCTTGGGAGAAATATCCTCCTCCCTCGACAGCTCAGAACTGGCCACCCAGACATGATCACCAGTACGGATGGGGGAAGGCCGCCTGTGGCGATTGGCTTGTTCAATCATGGCCTTTTGGGCCTTGAATAAGTTCGCGCGGGCTCTTTCCACATCCAGACGATAGCGTCTAGCGAACTCTGCGGTGCCTGGCGTCAGATCAGGCTTAGCCTTGTTGATGATATCATCGAGAGGCTGGCGTGGTTCACGTCCCCAGTGCAACCGGTAGGGATTGAACCCTGTCGAGGAGTGGACAGACATGTCATACATGAGTTGTGCCCTCGCCAAGTGAAGATCCCAGTCCTGTTGATCTGGAGAGATGACAGGACGCAGCAGCTGGAACAAGACTTGGTTCATCACTTCAGCCAAACCATTGGCTTCAGGATGGTGACCAGAAGTCATGTCCAGTCATGAGTGCAGATAGTCCTTGCAATAGGACTGCCACGCATCGCTGCAAAATCGGGGGTCTCGATCACTGACAATAGAGGTGGGCGGTCCATGGTGTGTGACCCACCTCTCAGAGAAGGCTGTTTTCACAGTCGGTACCCTAGCTGCGTATTTGGAGAACCTGTCCACGCAGACTATAACCTGACGCATGCCACGAGGGGTGGTCTTGCCTAGATCTGTGAAGTCTATCAACACAGATTGGGAAGGGCCATCAGGTATGGGTAAGGGTTTGAGCAATCCCAAAGGAGGTTTACGCTGGACCTTGTTCCTTTGGCAAAGCTCACAGGTGTCCACATAACGCAGCATATCACTCCGCATCTCCTTCCAGAAGAAGCGATGCAATAGGGCTGCATAAGACTTTAGGAACCCGAAATGTCCACGGGCATCATGACACTCTGACATCAGCAGTGTCCTGAGCCGCTGGTCCTGAGGAATGCACAAGCACTCCTCACCTCTGCTGTAAGTATACAGCAGATCTGAACTCAGAGCATAGCCTGGTTCAGAGTTAGGATCTGCTCGCAGATTCCTGACAATGGGTCCAAAAGTCTCGTCCTGAGGTAGTAGACGAGCAATGGTCTGACGGGTCTCCTCTCCAAAGGAGTGAGTAGAGGAGATCAACGCAAAAGAGTCAGGCCTACGAGAGAGGGCATCTGCTACCTTATTGTAGCAGCCCTTCTTGTGCTTCAGTTCAAAGTCAAACATGTCAATGAACTGAATGTACCGTGCCAACTTATCATTCAACTCTCCCTGGGACTTCATCCACTGCTGAAGTACTGCCCCAATGCCATACTGACTGGCATCAGTGGTCAGGATGAATGGCAAAGTGGGTCAGGTAACTTCAGAACAGGCGCACGAGTTAAGGCCTTCTTGAGTCGTGTGAAGGCCAGCTGACAGTGGAGGGACCAAAGAAAGGGAGTGTCCTTCTTTGTGAGGTTAGTCAGGGGTGCAGCCACTGCAGAAAAGTGCCTAACAAACTTTTTGTAGTAAGAGGCCAAACCCATGAAGGACCGGACATCCCTCACTGTCTGAGGATGAGGCCACTCCTGAATAACAACAATCTTGGCTGCTTCAGGAGCCAGACCATCTCCAGAGATTACATGACCCAGATAGATGACAGAGGGAACTCCAAAGGAGGACTTCTCTCTGTTGATCTTATACTGGCTATCATGTAATGACTGAAGGACAAGAGTCAAATGCTCCGCATGTTCCTTGGCAGTTTTGCTGAATACCAAGATATCATCCAGGTAGACAACCATAAACTTGTCCAGGTAAGGCCTGAAGATGCGGTGCATCTCTGTCTGGAATGTGCCTGGGGCATTGCAAAGTCCAAATGGCATGACCAGGAACTCGTAAGTCCCATACCTGGTCTTGAAGGCTGTCTTGTAGACATCCTCCTCTGCCATCTCAATCTGGTGGTAGCCAGACTTGAGGTCGACTTTGCTGAACACTGTGCAGCCCTGCACCATATCCAGGAGGTCATCGATCCTAGAAAGTGGCTCAGTACTCTTCCTAGTGATCTTATTGAGACCCCTGTAGTCAATGCACATCCTGAACTCGCAGTTCCCTTTGGGTACAAAGAGAACAAGTGCACTGAATTCAGATGTGCTGGGTCTGATCCAGCCCTTGCTGGTCAGGGTCTCAAGCTGCTTTCTGAGCTCCTCAAACTCAGCAGGGGACATCCTATAGACGCGACCCTTAGGAGGGACCGCTCCAGGCAGCAGCTCGATGTGATGCTTGGTTGGCCGGTTGGATAACCCAAAGGTCTCCTGCATCAGATCAGCATACTGATCCACTACCTGCTGTATCTCAGGAGGACAGGAAACAGGGGGAGCATCTGTTTGCTTGACCAAAGCAATGAACAGACGCCCATGGTGGTACTGGCGAGAGAGAGCATGGAACTCCCTCGCTCTCAGGCAGTAGCAGGAGGTCTTAGGGTGGTGGTCAACAACAATCATGCATTGCTGATACACCCCCTGGCTGTCTGGTAGCTCAACTCTAGGAATCTACCAGTCGATCCTAGGGTTGACTGCCCTCAACCACTGCATGGAGAACACCAAGTCAAAGGGAAGCTCAGGGAAAATGTAAAAGTTCAGACTGTGTCTGACTTTTCCTGCAATATTGAAGGTCACAAGGATGCCCTTGACCTTCTCCCTGATGCTGATCACTGTAGAGTCACCAATCCGCACTTGCAGCGGTTGCTGCAACTGTTGAACTTTCATACCCAGATGCAGTTTTTTGACTGCACTGGGAGATATGAAGTTCCGGGTGGCTCCACAGTCCAAAAGCCCAGTGATCCTGGTGCGGTTGATCCGTGGCCGAAGCATGATGAGTTCAAACAGGCCCTTCTTCTTCTGCTCTTTCAAGTGGAAGAAGAAGGCAGCAATGGACTGAAGCTCATCTTGCCCCGGGTCCCGATCCGGGTCAGGATCCTCACAGCAGAAGGATGCTGCCCGCGCAGTCCCCAAACACGTATCGTCACCAACAGTCTCAACTGAAACAACTGTAGATTCACCTATCTGAATAGATGAAGATGCAACACTGGAGGGAACTGCAGTCCCCGGGGTCTGTTTCAGTTTTTTGACTGCACCCGGACCTGGCATGTAAGGGCAGTCCTTTAAGAAGTGATGTCCCTCACAACTCAGGCAGACCCCCTTCTCCTTTCTTCTTCTCCAGACTCCCTCCTGGATCTTGAGGTCATGCCAGGGGAGGGAGGAGGGATTGAGAGGGTCAGCTGGCATGCGGACGTCCCTAGGCAGATTAGGGCACTGAGAATAGGAAGGACGACGTCCCTTATCCTTCCCCTTGGTAGAGGCTGAGGCTGTGGAGGGGGAATACTTTTTCTGCGCTTGCAGAGCTCCCAACACAGCCTGAGTCACTACTGCTACAACATCTGTCTCAGCAGCAGATCCGGTCCCACCTGAAGGCACATCAGGCTGTGAATCGGTATCTGATCCTGAGGCAGATCCCACACGAGTAAGGGCTGCCTTTCCCCTTCTGTTGCCTCTAGGGAAGGCACCCTTCCTCCTCTCAGAGGTTGGGGCCTGGACATGGAGCTTGGCCTCCATTTCCAGGGCTGCACGACCAAAGGACCTCCAGTCCTTGTACCCAGCGCTGTAAAGTGCAACAACAAACTTCTCATGCGCTGCCCTGCAAAAACTGGTCAGCATATCATCAGGTGCCATGACCAGTCCAGGGGTGGAGGTGAGCTGCTCGAAGTCAACAAACAAGGCTTGTAGGGTGCCGTTGTACCGCTGCTGTCCCAGGCGAGCAATCCTGTCACCAGCCTTGCGGGCCCGCTCCTTGTCTGCAAACCGGTCCTCCACGGCCTGCAGAAGTCTGTCTACCCCCAACCCAAAGGCCCAGTCCTCCATGGACTGTTTCAGACTGCTGGAAGTTGAAGTGGCCCACTTCAGTGCAGGCCCTTCCAGCAGCCCCAAAACAGTTGCCACCTTGGTCTGTTCTGCACAGACAAAGCCCCTCAAGTAGGCTCTGGTCCCAACAGCCAGTCCCCAACATCTGTCTTGGGGTCATCGCCCCTGAACTTGTTGGGAGCAGGGATCTTGGGACCTCTGTCTGCTGCAGTCACAGCAGCATAGGTGGCCTTTGCTGAGGCATTTTGGGAGGGAGTAAATGACCGGGAAGAATGTACAGATCCCCCATGAGATGTAGGAGGTGAAGGAGGTGGTGAAGGAGGAGGAGAGGTTTTGGGTTTCAGCAGAGGGAGCTGAGGAGTAATCAGCTTGGCGGCTGCCAGCTGAGCAGACAAGTCCTGGATAGAGTCCAGGATCTTGGACTGCTGAGCTGACAGCTCGTCAACCCGACGCTCCAGCCGCACAAAACGATCATCCCAGTTTGTAAACTGGGAGCTGGTGATCTTGTGCTCCAACAGGATCATCTCAGCCATGTGCTTGGTGGCCTGGGAGCACCGATCATCAGCGAGAAACTTGTCTAGCTGCTGCAACAGATACTCTTTCCTGGAGTGATCTGTTGCAGCCTCTAGCTCAGCAGCCTCCTGCCGTGCCAATTCAGCTACTCTGGCCTATTGCAGCTTAAGCTGTTCCTCTGCCTCCTTCTTCAGCCTTTGAGTAGCAGTTAGAGGTGGAGGGGGTGCAGTGGAGGAAGAAGGCTGTTCACCTTCTGCCTTCACCACAACTTGCACATGTGGCTGCTGCTCATCCCCCTGTTGGGACATTTTCCCAGTTCAAATAAAACCCAGAAATAAAATAACAGCAGAAAAAATTGCAGCGATACACAGATTCTTGCAGATACTCTGGATTCGCTGCAGCACTCAACACTGGAGTAGGTGGGTGAGTAGGCAATCAACGGTTTGGGGTTAGAAGGGTGTCTCTGGGGTCAGGTGTCAGACAGACTGTTAGTCCAGCAAAATCAGCCACACGATTTCCTTTTACTGACCCTGGACCACACTGGAAGTAACACAGTTACTCCACTAGTCTTCCAGAGACCCACTAGAAGTTCCAGTGTCCACTAGAAAACAAGTGTAATCAGTGGGAATGATAGAAATGGTTAGTACTGACGCAGAGAGATCAAATAGCACAAGCAATGCAGACAGATACCCTGTACCCTGACTCAGACTCGATTTCAGACCCTGATGACTCTGGCGGTCATACCCTAGGGTATGGCGAATCACGGTTTTCACTGTATCCAGTGAAATACTAGAAATCTAACTCTGCGATTTGACAGTACTGACTGTTTTCAATTTGCGATTTACTGGGGACTTACAGAACTGAATTCTGACGGACAAACTTGAAGTTATGACTGACCCTAGGTAGCACAGGCTAAAAAAGACTCAGCGCAAAACAGCAATTCCCAGTATCACTACTTTTCCAGTACAGAATTCACTGTTTGATCATCCCAGAACAATCGCAATACAGTATAGCTGTCACAGGACAAGTTTGGACTAGAAAGAGTCAACAGATGATGAGATATGAGGAGAGGGAGGTAGGGGAAGAGATGGCTATGGCTGTCATGCAGTTTGCGATTTTCACATCCAGTCACTGACAGACAGATAGACCATTATCTTTCACTAAGCTACTACTGTCTGGATCGCAATACAGGTAGGTGCATGGAACAGACTCACTTGCAAAGAATCTTGTAGTTGATGATGAAGATCTGGCTATAGCTGATGATACCCTGATCTCGCCAATTTCCTCCAGAGCTTCTCCCAGACAATCCCACGCACAGAACCTCCTCAAAATTGTTGATCCTCTTCAGGATCTTGTAGCGCTGCACCCCTTTACTCCAAATACCCTGTATCTGGTCCTGTGGCACCCAATTCGCCAACACCAAAATATCTCGCCACAATGCCAGGTAGCCGCTGATGCTAAAAATAGCCCCAGATGGGGTTATTCTTCCATGAGATTGATTCAGGATGTCAATCTCACCCAGCGCCACCCAAGGATGCTGCCGCTCAGGGTTCCCTGATGTCCTCAGGGGTAATTCGCCACTCTGGGGTAATTCATTGTATCACCCTCAGGGTTGGCTATGGCGAATTAGCCCTGTACTCCCACTTCTTGCCAAGCACTCTGACAGGCTCAGGGTGCTTGTTCAGTACAGCCACTAAACACTTGAATTCACCGCTGAAAGTCTTCTTCCCTGCTGACTCAGTACTGGGGAAGATGAATCGCCATGAAACTCTCGCCAGTATATCGCCAGGATGAAGAAGATGCCTCAGTGCACTCAACCCTCAGTGCTCCAATTCCAATCTCGCTCCGATACCAACTGTTATGAACTCGGTCGTCTGACGAATTTTCTCGCCACTCAAACACAGACAGTCTCATACATGCCCATACATGCACAAGAGATGGGGAGAGAGGAGGCAGAGTACACACTGCACACAGGTGAAGATAAACAGCGGAAGACAATTATGCACAGCAGGAGAGAAGACACACAATGTTTCTCACTCTCTGACACAACTCCTAGCAACCAATCACAAGAAAGAACCTGCGAAGATCACAATTGAAACTGTCACTGATGATGAGCCACTCACACTATTATCGTAACAGAGTTTGTTCCAATATCTCGCCACAACCAAACTCACACCCCACTCCCCATCCTACACCTAGTTAGTAGCGCTATGTCAGAACAGCCTCCCAGAGGCCAGCGCCAACCACCCTGATGAAGGACAGGTCCAGCGATGAAGTCTTCAGTGCCGCTGGACAACTCTGACGAAGGAACAGGCAGCTATGGCTGCCACCACCCACGAACCACTCAGTGTAGAGCCTCAAC